TGAGCTGCTCTCTCATTATCTTGCTATATAAAGTCCCGTCGGTGGCGGGAGGGTTGGGTTTCCGGACTGCGGTCTTCCTCACCATTACACCACGAGGACGAGATTTCCAACCCCTGGCTTTGCCGAGTGGACACGTCCCGCCAGGAGCAGAAAAATAACACGATGATATTAGTAATAATGCCCCAAATTGTTCTTGATGCCACGAGCATCACCTCTGGGCAGCTTTGCCCTTCAGGACTGAGCCATCGGCACGGGACGGGGCTTTGTGTAGCAGAGGGCGGCCAAAATACCACGGCAAGGTATTGTCCTGCCAAGGAAATAGGTCATTTCCCGGGGAATTTCCAGCCCGGCTGTGTTTCCGATGTGGTGGTGAGGAAGGGTGCAGACGTGCCTCGACAAACCGTCAGCTGAATCCAAAGGGGATAAATAAAAGCTGAGCACGGGGAGGAATGAGAGATGGCGGAGAAATCAGAGTGATTAAGCAAGAAAAAAGGTGCAGAATAGTTTTTCTCAGTGGAAAAGCTCAGGAAAACACTGGAGGCTTTATCCAGCCTTACCTCACTCAATGACCACAAGCCAGATTTCATGGGCTGGGGTGGGATTTTAGCACATGGGGGGTCTCTACCTCATGTGTGCTTTGTTCTGGGAGTAAATCTCAAGACATGAAACCCTCATGCTGTCTCTGTGCAGCTCCCATGCATCAGAGCAAACCCACTTCAGTACTAATGGGCAGATATTTGGGGTTAAAAATGTGTTTATAGGTTCAAAAGCAGCCGCTCAACCCCAAATCTGCCCATCCACAGGGTGCCAGAGAGGGGCTAGAAGGTGGTGGCTGCCACAACTTCTCCCCAGTTCAAAGCCTTCAGGATCCAGGCTCAGACCTGACCTCTGGGTGCTGCCAATAATAGGATGAGAGAAAGGTTTGGGTTGGAAGGGACCTTTAAATACCATTTAGTCCAATCCCCTTGCCGTGAGCAGGGACATCTTCAACCACATCAGGTTGCTCAGAGCCTCATCCAATCTGGCCTTGGACACTTTCAGGGATGGGGCATCTACCACCTCTCTGGGTAACCTGTGCCAGGACCTCATCACTCTCATCACAAAACGTATCTTCCTTATATCTAGTTGGAATTTGCCCTCTTTTAGTTCAAAGCCATCACCCCTTGTCCTATCACTCCATGCTCTTGTAAAAAGACCCTCCCAGTTTTCCTGTAGCCCCTTCAGGTCCTGGAAGGCTGCAGTAAGGTCTCCCCAGAGCCTTATCTTCTCCAGGCTGAACAACCCCAACTCTCTCAGCCTTTCCTCATAGTAGAGCTGTTCCAGCCCTCCCATCACTTTTGTGTCCCTCCTCTGGCCCTGCTCCGCCAGGTCCATGTCTGTCCTGTGCTGGGGACCCCAGAGCTGGATGCAGTGCTCAGGGGGGGTCTCACCAGAGCAGAATAAAGGGGCAGGATCCCCTCCTCGACCGTCCTGGCCATGCTTCTTTGGATGCAGCCCAAGACATGGTTGGCTTTCTGGGCTGTGAGCGCACATTGCCTGCTCACAGCCCATTTTTCACCCACCAGTACCCCCATGTCCTTCTCCGCAGGGCAAAGAGCCCGACCCTGTGAAGAGCTGGGGGGAAGAGGGAGCGGCGCAGGGCTGCACAATGCAAGGCAGCCGGCGGCTTCCTGGAAACCACATCTGCAGCGGATTTGCAGCGATCATGTCAGAACTATGTCTCCAAACTCCTCCCTGCATTGTCTCAGGGGTCCCGGGCGATTAAACCACTCTGGAAGTCGGTTCCAGCTGCAAAAATCCCTTTTTGTCTTCTAACACAAAATGAGCGGCGTGGTGCAGAGAAGATTTTAAATATAGGGATGGTGGAAGCAGGATGTAGGATCAGGAACTGCGCGGTAGCTTTTAGGGATGCTGAAAGCCTGGGAGTTTTTCTTAAATGCATTAGGAGAAAAGCAAAGTGGCTGGAGGGAATGGTTGTGCTGGGAAATCCTGCTGGCCTGGGCTGCGTCCTCTCGTGTTTGCCTCCATCCTTTCTTCTCGTGGGACATGGGGCAGCTCAGACCCTCCTGCATGGGGAGAACTTGGGTGGCCACATCCCCCCAGGGCTCCTCATGCTGCTGTGAAGCTGATTTAAAACCTGAAATAAAAGATTTCCCGGTCCAGTGGCATTAAATCCCATCTGGATTTTCTCCTCCCTAAATGGTCCTATTTTTAATTATTTGGCTTTAGCGCGGCCAGAGGTATGATCCTAATTAGCTGTCGTCGTGGCAAACCACCCCTCCGAAATGCTTTTGGGTTTGCCAAGCTGCCTTCACCTCTATCCCTCTTAAATTCTTGCAAAGCTCCCTTTTGGGCTGTTTTCGGCTGAATTTGCACTGGGGACCGGGGTCTGCTGAGGGCGATGAGCTGGAAACCCTCTGAGATGAGGTTAATGTTGGAGGCAATGCTACAGACGACCCCATCGGCACGGACACGCGTCCATCGGCTGCTTAACGAAGCGTGTAATTAGCCTGCATGGCGCAGCTCGTCTCGGGAAGAGCCGGGATCCATGTCCCAGCCTTCCCAGTCCATAACAGAGACATCAGCGCTGTCGGGCGTCCCCGCTAATCCCCCTGCAAGCAGGGTGCCTGGTTGAAGGGGGGATTTAAAATGAAGGGGGGATTTAAAATGGCTTGGGCAGGCGTGAGGTTGGGCACAGGGTGAAAATAAAACCCTGGGGATGAAGCAGAGATCCTGGCGCTGCCAAAAAATCACGGCAAGCAGGAGGATTTTGGAGCACGGAGAAGGGCTGAGCCATGGGGTGAAGATGGGAGCCCCAAGACTGGGATTGCTCCCACTCAGGGCTGGGGGAAGGGGGTGGTGGGGTTGGATAGCAGAATTGTACCATTTCCAGAGGGATTTTCCTCTTTTTTTCCTGCTTTTGGATGACCTCAGAGGCTGCCCACTCATTCCTACAGCGGGTTTTGGGGTGTAGCATGGAAAAAGCCAGATCCCAAGGCACTGTTGGGGAAACTGAGGCACGGCGTCTCCTCTTTCTCCTACAAATCTGTTCACCCCCAAGGGCTGGTGATGAGGTTATGTCCCATGCCCACCTTCAGGTCAGCCCCTCTGAGCAGAAGCTGAACCCTCCTGGGGATTTTGCTCCATCTCATGCAAAATTAGCCATGGGTGATGATTTTGGGGTGAGTAATTGGGTGATTTTTAAGGACAACCCCTAAGTCTTCCTAGAGAAAAGGCACCTATCATCACCTAAACCTCCAGGGTGGGCTTTGGGATTGTCCAGGCGAGATGACACCCCAAAATTGGGTTCCTCCCTGCACAGGGCTGAGGGATGAGGTGATGGTATAGCTTCATGTCACCCCTAACCCCATGTTTTTATCTATTGGCTCTTTTTAGCTTAATTCATAAGGAGGTGCAAGTCTCAACCAGGTAATGAGCACCAAGGTCTGGAGATCCACTGAAGACTGGAGGTGGGCTAGTAACCCCAACAGCCCAGTAACCACCAGTGACTTCACAAGGAAGTGTGATTTCTATGGATACTCCAGTGTCAGATCCTAGTGCCACCAGTCCTCACCAGTCCTGGCACCGTCCAAACTTTGCATCAGTGCCATTAATGCGTGTGGGGCAGAGCCCAGCTGGCCAAGTCCTCTCTGGGCTGCATGGGGCCACCACCATGCTCCATCCCAAGCTACTGCCTGCCAAGGCAGCCTTAGCACACCAATTCTGGGTGTTAAAAGCATTGTGAGAAGGCAAGGTGGCAGCCAGCTCCTTTACCTTCTTGCCAGGAGGGCATAAAACCCTAGGGATGAAGTAGCAGCAGCTTGAGCCCCACAGCAATTGGGATGGAAGAGGTGAGTTGCTCAGTCCAGGAGCTTCTGCATCTCTGGGCATCCCACCAGGGCCAGGCACCTCACTACAATAGGGCATCCCATCATGGCAGGGCCTCCCATTGAGGCTGGGCACCCTCCTTTGTCCAGGCACCCTACCACATCTGGGTACCCCACCATGTCCAAGCATCTCACTGCAGACAGGCACTCCACCATTGCCAGGCACCCCACCATAGCAGGGCACTCTACCATGACCAGGCACCCCAACATGACCAGGAACCCCACCACAGCCAGGCACCCCACTGCCAGGCATCCCATCACAGCGGGGCACCCCAAAGCAAGGCACCCCACTACAGCTGACACCACAGCAGGGCACCCCACCATGGCCAGGCATCCCACAACCAGTCACCCCACCATTGCAGGACATCCCACCATGGCCAGGCACCCCACCACCAGTCACCCCACCATAGTAGGACAACCCACCATGGCTAGGCACCCCACCACAGCAGGACATCCCACCACAGTCAGACACCCCATAACCAGTCACTCCACTATGGTAGGACATACTACCACAGCCAGGCACCCCACAAACAGTCACCCCATCATAGTAGGACATCCCTCCATGGCCAGGCACCCCACAACCAGTCAACCCACCATAATAGGACATCCCACCAGAGCCAGGCACCCCACAACCAGTCACCCCACCACAGCAGGACATCCCACCACAGCCAGGCACCCCATCACGTCACTCCACCACGGTAGGGTATCCCACCACAGCCAGGCACCCCATCACCAGTTACCCCACCATGGTAGGGTATCCCACCGCAGTCAGACACCCCACAACCAGTCACCCCACCACGGTAGGGTATCCCACCACAGCCAGGCACCCCATCACCAGTTACCCCACCATGGTAGGGTATCCCACCGCAGTCAGACACCCCACAACCAGTCACCCCACCACGGTAGGGTATCCCACCACAGCCAGGCACCCCACAACCAGTCACCCCACTATGGTAGGACATCCTACCACAGCCAGGCACCCCACCACATTCAAGTACCCCATCACAATAGGGTATCCCACCATGGCCAGGCACCCGACAGTGGGTGTGCACCCCACTACATTCAAGCACCCTAAGGTCAGCCACTCCACCGTGGTCAGGCACCCCACCAGCACGTCCCCACCACTGCCACCGATACTCACTGTCCCCTTCCACCTTCTCGGGCGTCCGGCTCCAGATGATCTGCCGGGTTTCCAACTTCACCTGGAAGGTCCTTCGCTCCGGCCTCTGCGACTTCTTCTGATAGAACAAGGTGAGGACAGTGCCCATCTCCAGGCAGCGAAGGATCCTGCCCATGTCCCCTGCCTCCATCCTGCCGTCCTCCAGAAAGCCATTGACGCTGTTGTGCCTGGCCATGGACATCTTCACTGCGCGGCCATCGCCCGGCGGAGCCGCAAAGCCGGGGTTGTCTCATGCAGGAGAGGACGAACCAAATAGCCGAAATCTCCCCGGGGATTTTCTCTTCTTGCCCCCGGCGCGGGTTTCCTCTACGGTTGACGTCCCCTCCGTTGCACCACGGCCGCGGCACAGAGCTGGGGAGG